TTAGATAGTAGAATTTGGTACTATGTTCTTTATAGAGTCTGAAACAATTAAGCTAAAAAAAACAAATTTAAATATTCCTAGGCCTAGTATAGCACACATTTGTACTATATTAGGCCTCAGCTATCGTGTATTAGGCCTAGGAAGGTTAGGTTAGGTTAGTTTAGTCTTTGTCACATAAATAGAAAATCTTTTTCTAGTTTCTCCAAATTCAATAGTACCGATTTCTACTTTCTAATTCCGTTGTACGTCGGTATATGTACTATGGTGCTCAGGGGTACTATACGTACTACCACAACAGGAGGATGGACTGGTGTGTGTGTTTGATTATATCAATTAGTATTATAATATATATAAATATATATATACATATATTAATTATTGATTTATCTTGTGTTACAGGTAAGACTGAGATGAAGGTCCCAAAACTAGGCGAGGAAGACTTTAGGTAATGCAAGAGTACATACAAGAATACATTAGTATTTTTGAATAGATCTGAAGTTGTTGGATAAATGACGTTTGCATAAATACTTGAGTGCAGGGTCACCCTGGAGTGCAGGGTCACCCTGGAGTGCAGGGTCACCCTGGAGTGCAGGGTCACCCTGGAGTGCAGGGTCACCCTGGAGTGCAGGGTCACCCTGGAGTGCAGGGTCACCCTGGAGTGCAGGGTCACCCTGGAGTGCAGGGTCACCCTGGAGTGCAGGGGAGTGCACCCCTGGAGTGCAGGGTCACCCTGGAGTGCAGGGTCACCCTGGAGTGCAGGGTCACCCTGGAGTGCAGGGTCACCCTGGAGTGCAGGGTCACCCTGGAGTGCAGGGTCACCCTGGAGTGCAGGGTCACCCTGGAGTGCAGGGTCACCCTGGAGTGCAGGGTCACCCTGGAGTGCAGGGTCACCCTGGAGTGCAGGGTCACCCTGGAGTGCAGGGTCACCCTGGAGTGCAGGGTCACCCTGGAGTGCAGGGTCACCCTGGAGTGCAGGGTCACCCTGGAGTGCAGGGTCACCCTGGAGTGCAGGGTCACCCTGGAGTGCAGGGTCACCCTGGAGTGCAGGGTCACCCTGGAGTGCCGGGCATCCTGGAGTGCCGGGCATCCTGGAGTGCCGGACATCCTGGAGTGCCGGACATCCTGGAGTGCCGGACATCCTGAAGTACAGAGCATCCTGGAGTGCCGGACATCCTGGAGTGCCGGGCATCCTGGAGTACAGAGCATCCTGGAGTGCATACTCAAAATTGTAGAGCACTTGTGCTGCGTGTAAAGTTTTGCACTCACTGCCGTTGAGTGTACAAGATGTGCCTTAGTGCTGCAAGAGCCTTGGCTACCGTGGCTAGGTTCAGGACGTGGCTCTTGATGGTCACTGAAGAGTCACACTTCATCCCCCAATATGTCAGCCTCATCACAGACGACTAAGTTTCTCCCACTCATCTGTATGCTTGTCATAGTCGCCGTGTCATGCTGTCTAATTATCATCCTCGTCTGTGGTTTTCTCCGCCGCACATGTAACTTGCCGGCGCCTACCTCAGGTACACACTATACTGCACCTGGTCATTAATGACCCTTGTAGCAGTTGTCATTTTCTCTCTTGTATATGCAAAGTTAAGAGTGTCTCTCCGCCTCCACCGGGGATCGAACCCGGAACCTCAGGACTACGAATCCGAAGCGCTGTTCACTCAGCTGTCCATCCCTCATATCCAGGGATGAGGTGTAGGTCGTTCAATAGACGTCTCACAAGAAGGTGCCAAGCACACAATTCTCTGTGAAGCACTCTCACCCACTCAGTGTCTACAGCGCCAGGATTCATCAGCATTTACGTGTCCGCCTACGAAACCTGTACATCTTTCCTGCATCATTAACACTGAGTGTTTGTTCAACCCGTCCTCGACTCAAGTCCATTCCATCCAGCGGTCGACCCCACAGACGCATTCATAAATTTTAATATGCTGTTCTTTCAAAACAGGAATTTTCTCAAATATAAACTAATATAATAATATATTAGCATATTGTGCATATATAGGCATAGGTTAGGTCAGGTGTTTAGGTTTTGTTGGCGATTATTTGTATTTAACCTAACCTATGCCTATATATGCACAATGTGCTAATATATTATATTATTAATTTATATTTGAGAAAATTCCCGTTTTGAATGAACAGCATGTTAAAAAGTATGAATGCGTCTGTGGGGTCGACCACTGGATGGAATGGACTTGAGTCGAGGACGGGTTGCAACACTGGGTCGAGAACAACCTCGCAGCGTATCACGGCTCGTAAACTATTGAACAAATCGAGGAAAGATGTACAGGTTTCGTAGGTAGACACGGGATGAATCCTGACCTAAAATTGTTTCCCCAAATATTAGTAACGTTAGACCGTTGTTGGAGAGAGACCAAGTGGTTGATGCCGGGTCACCAGTCCCTGCTGGGTGGCGGGTTGACCTTGCTCCTCACCTTAATTGACTCTTAAGATGTAATGAGTGGCTGGCGCCTCAGTCTCCTCTCTTATCATATGT